GTTGAGGGGCGCTAAAATAAGATGATTTTAGGTGATTTTTAACTACTTGACCGTGATTTTTAGGGGCGAATGGGGGGGGGGGTGCACCCCTGTTAGATTCGCCACTGACGAAAAAAAAATCAAGTACAAATGTCAGAAGAGAAAGATCGTCTCCCGACCGAGTGGAAGGAAATGCGCAACAAAGAGGTGAAAAATTCATCATGAATCATTCATCATGTAATTATTGTATTTAACACTCTGGCTTACTCACAAAATTGTTCTGTTTATTTTACTTTGTTTATACAGTTATTCAAATATATTGATTACTATGAATATTGTTCGAAAACGAGAAAAAAAACCCCTTTTAATTACTGCATTACATTGTAAATATTGATTTCTTACCTGATGTGTGGTTTGGAGTCTTCAAAATACGAAGTCATTCTATGCAGAAATGTACAGATAATCTTCACTTTTTCAAGTACAAAATTAGAAAGAGCCTTCAACAAGACCGTTTGGAACTACCACCACCAAAACGATACGCTTGGCATTGTTATACCAACCTGTTATATAAATATAAAATTGAGTTTAAGTAACGATACTAGGTCAGGTGGTGTTAATGAATAATATATCAGAATTTAGCATCCATTTAACTCACCAATTAAAAGATTGGAATTGTATTATAAGGTTTTACGTCACAACACCACGTGACACCACACTGACACTGAGAACATTACCAAAGTGATTGATGGAGTAAATTCACCGATAAGTCATATAGTATCCATACTTTTTCATTCATTCATTTATTTATTCATTCATTCGGTCAAAATCAACATACAAATCACGGAAACGTCATAAAAAATATAAAAAGATAAAAACGCTACATAAATATAATTATACATATAGGATTTTATAGTAATTGTGTATATACGCACTAGGAAAAAAAATAAAGGTATAGCTTAGCAGCTGTGGCTCAGCTATGGGAGAAGGGCATTTTGGTGCACCAAGTGCTTGGTGGTAGTTACTCGGGAATCAAACGTGATAATGTCACGTTATAATGTCTATGTGTACACGCTACCTATTTCGGTGTTCTATAATCAAGGTTACGGTTGAGAATTATGGAACGGCTTAATTAAGGAAATCTTAATAAATAATTTTTAGGTTTAACATCTTAAACTATGCTATTGAAAGTAATTTGTTTTTAAATAGGCCTGTATGTTTTTTCTAATTAACTATCTCGGCGCGATGATTATCATTATTTACATTCCTGTCGTAATTTTTCTTCAGAATAGGCCTAGATCTTTCTGGTAAGCCCCAATCCCATGTGTGTAGTTAGGCCCACAAACGACAACGCAAACGTAAGTCAACACGTCCATCAATAATGATTAAATATTGTAGTTTTACTCTTCATTTTTATGAATAAAACAATTTATACATTTTATCTAATAATGGATTTCTATAGGGCTTCATGTGACCTCTGGTCAAGGGTTGAAAATTAAAGGGGTTGAAGTCATGTCAAAAGGTTGGATCTTTAAAAAATTACTATAATCCTCATCTTTCATTTTCGTTGTTGTCATAAACATCATTATTATTATCATGTTTCTGTCAGTTAAAATATATTTAAATAAATCATCATAAAGAAGTTATATAAAATTTAAGATATACATTAATATAGCGCAATAAAGACTCCAAATGCATGATTTTTGGAGGCTGGAAAATCCCAAAAAAAAATAACAGGCAATCCATTCCTTGTTATGTGCCTTATTATACTGCGTAGTGCAGCCTAGATTAAGAACATGCTTTAATGTGTCAAACATTGAGAATTGGCGAAACGTGTAATTAAATGCCCTCTGTCCAGACTATCAAATTGTATTTGACAAAAAAACATGTGACATGCGTATATCGAAAGGTCCACAGATTAATCTCAAATAAGATAGTATAATACATACAGGAATCGATCCTGATGATGACATACGGTACCGTAATTAATGTCGAAATATTGAATCCCGACACGATGGTGTGCATTTCGATACTTGGATTATGTATTATACTATCTTATGCCTAAATACGGTCAGATCATGGCCATATATAGGCACATCATGACTATATATGGTAACTTTTTTTATAGTCTGGTCAGGGCTTATATCCCTTCTTCAAAATGGATATTGCTCATATATAGACCTCTTGACATTACACACATTCGCCATTTAAACCGTCCCATTATTATTTTATGAATTCCATCAGAGAAACTAACCATTCCTAATTAAAGCCTTGGCTCTGAACATTTTACGATGTATTGTATGGCGTGCATTTCGATACTTGGAGTATGTATTATACTATCTTATACCTAAATATGGTTAGATCATGGCCATATATAGGCACATCATGACTATATATGGTAACTTTTTTTATAGTCTGGTCAGAGCTTATATCCCTTCTTCAAAATGGATATTGCTCATATATAGACCTCGTTGACACATTCGCCATTTAAACCATCCCATTATTATTTTTATGAATTCCATCAGAGAAACAAACAATTCCTAATTAAAGCCTTGGCTCTGAACATTTTACGATGTATTGTAATGCTTAAATGTTTAAATTTTCTCAAAATTATTTTTTGAACCAAACCCAGACAGGTGCGTTTGCGGAATAATCTAAATTTAATTTTGAAAGAATCCAGTATAAACATTACTCTTATTTCTC